TAGAAGAATTTATTTTTGTTACAAATTCTTGGAAATAATAATTGAATTAAAATGATGAAAATAATTTTGAAGGAGTTACAGTAATAATATTCTTATAATATAAAATAATGATTTTATTACTGGGCCATCTTTACTATACCTATAAAAGTTTTTAAATATAAATACTTTTAATAATTTGATATCCTTAAAAAAGCTGAATAATAATAGTAATAATAATAATAATAATAATAATAATAATAATAATAATAATAATAATAATAATAATAATAATAATAATAACAATAACAATAGTAAGAAAAATAATAATAATAATAATAATAATAATAATAATAATAGTAATAACAATAGTAATAATAATAATAAAAAGAAGTATAAATAAATATTGACGAACTCAATGAAAAATTTGATTTCACAATAAACGCAAAATTGATTTCTATTCAAAGAGCGAGTGAAAAATGAAAATCTAATTTAACGATATTTCTTGGAAGGTCCTTGCTAATTTGAGCTGTTTTGATGCATTTATAAAGTAGTGGCAGCAGCAGCAGGCATCTGACTCACATGCATGTGACTACACGGAACTGATTTCAGGTCAATGATGTTGAGCAGTAAGATTTCGAAAGCAGATAGTCGCAAGAAATCTATATTGTAAACATCACGTGTCCCTATAACCATAGTGCACTTTACAAATTCGTAATGCATAATATTATAATGTTCGAATTAGATAACTAAATAAATATATTTACACATATACGTAGAAAATTGGCTTTCCTGGCAATATCTAATAATAACTGCATCATCCTATAAAGATCATTTTTATGCCGACGCTAATAAAAATGTTTCATTTTTCGCGCCAATATATGATGACTAAGTTCTTTTTTATCGTTATAATTTCATTTAATTTTTAGTTTTTTAAGTGTATTTTTTATTTTTTATTATTATTATCTATTCCTATTTCAGTATTTAATTTTTTTTTAAACATTATAGTATTTTTCAGTTTCTTCGGTGTTTTTTCTCCAAATTTTTCATTATTTTTCAAATTTCAAGGGTTTTTTTAAAAAACTTCTTAGAATTTTTTTTTGTTTTTTCAGTGAATTTTTCAATTTTTTTCAGTATTTTTGAGTTTTTCAGTGTATTTTTCAATCTTTTTAGTAATATTCAAAAGTTTTCTTTTTCGTTGTTTTTCCAATTTCTTCAGCATTTTTAAAAATTTTGAGGATATTTTTCCATCTCTTTAGTATTTTTTCAGTTTTTCAGTGTATTTTTCTCAACACCTTTTTTAGTTTTTTCAGTGTATTTTTCAAATTTTTTTTAGTATTTTTGAATCTTAGTATGTATTTAATATCAAGGGTATTTTTCAATCTTTTTAGTATTTTTCACTTTATCAGTGTATTTTTTAATTTCTTTAGTATTTTTGACTTTTTAAGGGTATTTTTTAATCTATTTACTATTTTATGTCAGTTTTTCAGTGTACTCTTAAATTTCTTTAGCATTTTTAAGATTTTAAAGATATTTTTCAATCTTTTTAGTATTTTTTCAGTTTTTCAATGTATTTTTCAATTTCTTCAATATTTTTGAGATTTTAAGAGAATTTTTTAATCCTTTTAGTATTTTTTCAATATCTTCAGAATTTTTTACTTTTTAAACTGTATTTTTAATTTTTTTAAATATTATTCAGTTCCTTCAGTGTATTTTTCAATATTTTTTAGTATTATTGAGATTTTAAGGGTGTTTTTCAATTTTTTTTAGTATTTTTCTGTTATTTAGTTTATTTTTTAATTTCTTTAGTATTTTTGATTTTTTTAGGGTATTTTAAAATCTTTTTAGTATTTTTTGTCATTTTTTAAGTGTATTCTTCAATTTCTTCACCATTTTGGAGATTTTAAGGGAATTTTTAAATCTTTTTAGTATTTTTTCCGTTTTTTAGTGTATTTTTCAATTTTTTTAGTATTTTCAAGATTTGAAGGGTATTTTTAATCTTTCTATAGTTTTTGTCAATTTTTTAGTGTATTTTTCAATTTTTTTTTTGTATTTTTGAGGTTTTAAGAGTATTTTTTAATCTTTTTAGTATTTTTCAGTTCTTCTAGTGTATTTTTCAATTTTTTTTTGTATTTTTGAGATTTTAAGGGTGTTTTTCAATTTTTTTTAGTATTTTTCTGTTTTTTAGTGTATTTTTTAATTTCTTCAGTATTTTTGAGTTTTTTAGGGTATTTTTAAATCTTTTTTGTATTTTTTCAGTGTATTTTTCAATATCTTCAGCATTTTTAGGGTTCCGTACCCGGTAGGAACCCTATTGGAACGGTTACAAAAATGACCATGTACCCCCCCCCCTAGAACTCACAGTTTTACACCTAGAGAGCTAAAAATTGGTACACGTATGTATTTTCACGCGTAGATTACAGGAAAAATATAGCGAACGTGATTGGGATTGATCTTCATAGAGTTTTCGTCGAAAAACATCAAATTTTGGCCATTTTTCGCAAAAAAAGGCATGTACCCCCCCCCTAGCGCTCACAGTTTTTTACCTAGAAAGTTGAAAATTGGTATGCATATGTATTTTCAAAAATGGATTAAAGGAAAAATATAGCGAACACATTTAGTATTGATCTTTATTCTGTTTTTATCGAAAAAGTCAAAAATTTTGAAAATTTCGAAAAAAATGCATGTACCCCCCCCCTGGCGCCCACAGTTTTTTATCTGAAGAGCTGAAAATTGGCATACTTATTCGTTTTTACGCATAGATTACAGGAAAAATATAGCGGAAGTGATTAGAATTGATCTTCATGATGTTTTCATCGAAAAACTAAAATCTCTTTTTGAAAGCTCGAAAATTCTTGAACCGTTGCTGGTTCTCTCAATTCTTAATCTAGTGGACTGTCGCTATACATTTTTATTTATTTTTTCGTGTAGATTGCAAAAAACCTACAGAAAAAATTATTGGAATTCATCTTCATATTTTTTTTTGCGAAAAACTAAAAAAAATTTTCGTTTTAAAAAAAAAAGTGTGTACCCCCCCCCTTGGTTTTCACAATTCTTGGCCTATTGGACTGCAGTTTTGCTTATTTTATGTATTTTCGTCAGTAGATTTCAGGAAAAATATAGCGAACCTGATTGGATTTGATCTTCATATTTTTTTCATCAAAAAACTTAAAGTTTTTAAAAATTTCGTCAAAAAAGCGTTTATTTCACCCTAGCACTCACAGTTTTTTACCTAAAGAGCTGAAAATTGGTACACTTTTGTATTTTCACGTGTAGATTACAGGTAAAATATAGTGGAAATGATTAGAATTGATCTTCATTGCGTTTTGAGCGAAAACCTAAATTTTTTTTTCCAATTTTTGATAATAATTATACCTATGCTAGTTCTCTCAATTCTTAGTCTAGTGGACTGGCGTTATACATTTTTATTTATTTTTTCGTGTAGATTTCAACAAACATACAGAGAAAATTATTGGAGTTCATCTTCATATTTTTTTTCGAAAAACTAAAATTTTTTTTCGTTTTAGAAAAAAAAGTGTGTACTCCCCCTTTGGTTTTCACAATTCTTGGCCTATTGGACTATATTTTTGCTTATTTTATGAATTTTCATATGTAGATTTCAGGAAAAATACACCGAACATGATTGAATTTTATCTTCATATTTTTTTCAGTGAAAAAGTCAAAGTTTTTAAAAATTTCGTCAAAAATGCGTGTTATTTACTATAGCGCCCACAGTTTTTTACCTGAAGAGATGAAAATTGGTATACTTATGTATTTTTACGCGTAGATTACAGGAAAAATATAGCGGAAGTGTTTAGAATTGATATTCATGGTGTTTTCATCGAAAAACTGAAATCTCTTTTTGCAAGCTCGAAAATACTTTCACCCTTGCTGGTTCTCGCAATTTTATGGAGGGTACGGAACCCTAGGTTTTAGTACGAGTTCTACTCGCACTTGTCCGGTTTTTTTTTTAGTTTTTTAAGTGTATATTTAAATTTTTTGTAGTATTTTTGAGATTTTAAGGGTATTTTTAATTTTTTTAAGTATTTCTCAGTTTTTCAATGTATTTTTAAAATTTCTTTAGTAATTTTCAGTTTTTAAGGGATTTTTTAATCTGTTTATATTTTTTGGCAGATTTTTAGTGTATTTTTCAATTTCTTTAGTATTTTTGAGGTTTTAAGAGTATTTTTTAATCTTTTTACAATTTTTTGACAGTTTTTCATTGTATTCTTTAATTTCTTCAGTATTTGGAGGTTATGAGTTTTTCTTGAGACTATCAAATTGAGACAAAAAACCTATCAAAAGTGTTGCGAAGCAACGAATTGATACGTTTTTTTTGTCTCAGTTTGATATCCTTAGAAAAACTGTGGCTATACTAGTTTCAAATAATTTTTTGGAATATTTGAAAAAGTTAAATAGTCCTTTAGTTATTTTTTTGTCAGAAAAATTTTTAAATCAGAATGAATTTGAATGATTCTGAAGTTTGGACGTTCAAAACAAACATATTTTTCTTACATCTTTCAATTCACTTCTATAACTTAAATTTATCAAATTGCAACGTATTGATACCAAAAATGTGGATCTCAATATACAAAATATGGATTTAAAGAAAAATTTTAACCCAGTTCAATTTGCATTATTTTTAATTTATAAAATTCTTGAAAAATACTCGAACAAAAAAGAATACTCCATTCGTTCTTTAATATACTTTAAGTTTAAAAATGATTTATAGAACTTATTTATAGTAATTATTTATAGAATATACATCATTATTATCAATATTTGAATACCTAATTACCGCGATAAAAATTCTACAAGATTTATATATATATACTCTTTTTCATGTATAATAAGTTTCGTAAATGAAAATAAAAGATAAACCTTTCTGACATACACATGAAATAAAAATATCAATTACATATGGCATTCTTGTTTCGTGTATAAGTGAAAAGAAAATTCTTATTCCACGTGTCGCGGCTTGGCGCCGAGTGTGTAGTCATTGAAGATATATTCTGCGCGTTTACCGTTTGCTTATTTTGAAGCCAACGAGGGATCGAGTTCACGAAGTCTAGACATCAGTTCCTAAGATATCACCCACTAAACTATAAAGATAAACTGTGCACACACAGTGTAAATGTAGAGTATCTTGATTATAATGAATATCAAAGTAATTTTACCGAATAGAAACACAACAATCTATTTGTGTCTCTATATATATAAAAATAGTTTAAACATTTTCAAGTGTTGAGTTGTCAACGCACAATGCAGACATGGCACTCCCTCGCGCCTCCTCTCGAGACTCTATATACCATGGCGTAGGTGTGCACTTTCGTTTAAGGCAAAACTAACTTGCATTTACATAATTGCCAGTTTACATACATTTTCTTGTTGTAGCTCACATTTTTTGTGACATTTAAAAGCTACTCTCTTATATAGTTTACTTTATATTGTAAATGAAAATATCAAATATATACGAGTCAGAAATTTTCGATTTCGCTTTCTTAGCAGACAAATTTGTCTGGTATATTTGGCAAATAAAATTTTTCTCTCGCTGAAGTAGAGAATCAAAAATATTCTATATTTTCTTATTCAATTTCTTATCTTCTATATTCGAGTCCCTTCTTTTTCGTGTTTACCAGATGAAAAGGGAAGGTTTGATTCACTTATATATATATATCTAATATAAGTTAGAATCGAGTTTCGAGGCTCTGTTGAACTAGTTTTCTGTTGAGTAGCACAAGGTTGTACCTGCGCGTCGTTTAGTGTATATACTACGTATAGATATATGTTGCATATATACGCTAAGATGTCTAAAATAGAATACAATTTTTATTTTTTGCTCTATGTTGAAATAATTGTGTCTTTTGCTAGTAAAATTATATATGTGTGGGAATATTTTTTTTCTTTCTTTCTTTCTTTCTTGAGTGCGGCGGCTTGTTCGGATGCGAGGTAAAAAGAAAGGCAAAAGAGGGCAGTAGACTCTTGGCAAAAAAAAAGAGGCAAATTAAAGGAAGACAGGAGAAAAGAAGAAGGTTTGGTCGGCGTGACCCAGCAACATCTGCTGGGTGTAATAACACCTGCCTCGGTCGCGTGCTCCGGTCTTTAATGTTGAGGCTGCAAGGGGTTAAGAATAATGTATCTATAATTCTATTTCTTTATACAGCATTATATTTATGTACAGCATTATATTTATATTTATTATATTTATGTGTACCATGAGGAAAAATGAAAGTTAACGAGGAAAATTACGTAAGGTGTTGGTATAAACATTCTCGATGTTTTCATCTCTTTGTGTTTACCATTTCTTTAGGTTCACCATCTTCAGGTTTACCATCTCTAGTGGTTTATCATCTCCAGGTTTACCATCTCCAGGTGTACCATCTCTTTTTTACTGTATGAAATCTCTTTTAGCAGAATTTCATTCATTATACAATATTGAATGTATTAGAGAAAATATGCTACCATCTTAAAATCGTGAATATGCGCTTGTGAATCATCAGACAATTGCAAAACACTCAGTATAAACGAGGACGAAAGTACACTGACTTTAGGCTAGTGAAAGTTTGCATCTAAATATTCAAGAATTTAGAATTCGCTACTCCAGACTCGGTTAAATTAACTAGATTTAAATCCGGATAAAAGACTACTACTACTACTACTACTACTACTACCTATACTACGTTTTATTTTGTCTCTTATTGAGGTCCCATATAACAAAAGAAAAATAATAATACAAGGAAACATTATCTTTTGCTCTCATTTTTAGAGGAATCACTACATTAATTATGAAAAATAAATCTTACTCACTGTTTACTTAATAGTATTAATTTAAATTTTCAAGAAAACTGTGCTTTCAGTTTTAACTTTTGACTAAAACTGTTTACATTAAATTAAATATCAAATATTTTCTACACAGCGATTTCGAAATACTATATGACCTTAATAAAGAAATAAGCAATGCACATATACATTTACCAATATTTATAGAAATATTTGGATCAGTTTCGCAATATATTTATCGCGAGAGTGTATTATTAAATTCGAAAATTAAAAACAAAAAATTCTTGCTGATGATTTCTTATACAATTATATTAGCGCACATAAAAATTGGATAAAACATAAAAAAAGCAAACAAACAGATTCAAAAATTTATGTCAATTTTTACTAACATTACGCTAAATACACTAAAACTTTAGTAAACAGTCTGATGCTATAATTCTGAAGTAGCAAAATTAGACTAAGAATTAAAGAACACTTTTACTAATTAGAATTAGTGCTAGATGACTTTTCACTAATTCGATAAATTTAGAGAGTATTTAGATAATTCCCAGGTGATTATTTAATTATAGGAAAATTATTATTATTATTATTATTATTATTATTATTATGTATTAGAAAATATATAAATTACATAAAATGGTGCATGAAACAAAAAAAAATACAAAAAAATAAAACTAATCGAGGAAAAATCCAACAAACAAAAGTGAGAAAACATGATTTACAAGACGAGAATTTCATGTGTCATATATTTTTGTCACCGCCGGTTTAACGGTTTTATGTTTCATTTGTTTATTTATTCTAAAACCTACATATCGTTGAAAATGCATTTAGACTACACAACATTATATTATGAGACACGAGATTTATTTATATCCTTGCTTACTAATACCAGTACTTCCCATTACTTTTCTAGTTTAGAAATTCAATAATAGATATTAAGTACAAGAATAATGCGCAATATTCTTGAACACTTATTAGTTATATTGTAACAATTAATTTCTGTCACGTATTTCACGTGACAAAAATTGTTACAATATAACGTAAAAAAATTAATTGTTACAATATAACGTAAAAAACTTAATTGTTACAATATAACGTAAAAAAATTTATTACAATATAACTAAAAAAATTAAAAAAAAACAGAAATTGTAATAAAAGAATACAAGCCGAAAATTGAAAATAGTATAATAATTAATAATTAATAAATACTGATTTTAGTTTTAAATTAAACAGAAAAAATTTTGATTAAGGTAAAAAAACATAACCTTAAAGTATTTTGCTTCTTAGGTACCTTTCTTCGGAATGCACCATAAAGAAATAATACTAGTAATTATCTATAATACAGTAATTAATATACTATCGAATGCTATAGTAATTGTCAATGATAATTAAAATTGCAAATAACAAAAATTAAATATATTAATTTATTTATGTTTTGAAGAAAATCAAGTCCCAAGTTTTGATCAAACAACAGACTACAGTTGTTGTATTCTATTATTATTTATTTGCAATTTAATTAATTGACAATAGTAACTGAAAATAAAAACAACAAACTATAATAAGAACAACTAGTAGAATAATAAAAAAAATTACTTTTGAGCAAACCTAACAAAATACAATCGTTGCTAGAAAAAAAATAAGAGACTGAATAATAACAACAGTTCTACAACCTGCATAAGAAAAAAATTTGCAAGCATATATAAAAAAAAGAAGTGTGGAAACGATGAGATAAAAGGATGACTATACTTGAAAGATATAGCGTGTGCAGTAAAAACTATGCAGCCGGCGCATCTTCGAGCAGGTGCTGGTCAAAAGCCACCTTTATGCATCTGCCAACAGTTCATTGGACTTTTAAAGTCATAAAAGAACAACATAAAATTAATCTCCTTTTTTTCAATTCGTCGTATATACATTATGTGCCATTTTCGCTAAAAAAAAAGAAAAGAAAAGGCAACACACCATATTGTGTATAGCAGCTTTAATTTTATTACTTTTTTCTAAAATTATTTTGTGTAGTAAAAAAAAATTATATTTACATAATGATTTCTGTATATACGTACAGCATTATATATCTATATATTAAATCTCTGGTATGCAAGATATTTCATACACAATATACGAACTTGCGCCGTACAATTATTACGATACGTACCAATTACCACATATATATGTGTGTGTACTTATATATAAATATTTCTGTGTGCGTATATAAAAATATATGTATATATTTATATTGTATATACAAGTAAAGGCAAAGATTTATGTCGCAGACGGTCATCCAGTGCTCTTGGCCTGGTTCCCAGAGCCGACAGTTTGAGAACTATTGACTTATACACACCATTAGATGATTATGAAATAATTTGTCAATAAACAGCTGTTTAAGCCACTATGATGGTGTTATATTGGCACAAAAGCTAAACTTCTATTCTTCATTCGTCTAGCCTCTTTGAATAATCAAAAGATCAAAACGCAAAAAGGATCACTTTTGGTATATAGCTCATGAGGGCCCTAAGAATATATTCCACATACGGGTGTATTATTTTTTATTTTCTGTACTAAAATTTTTTTTCCCTTAATTTACCATTTCATTTCCTTAACACACTTTTTCGAATTCACATTTTGTATATTAAGATCGCTGTTTATTTTGAAAGTATCAAATTGCAACAAATTGAAATCGGAAATATGGATCAAATATGATTCAAACTTTTGGTTAAAATATTATGAATAAATTTTTTATAAATCCACATTTCGTATATATTAACATCACTGTTAACTTGAAAGTATCAAATTGCAACAAATTGAAACCAAAAATGTGGATCAAATCATGATTCAAATTTTTTTTACCATTTGAATAAATTTGCTGTGTATCAATTATTTAAAACTTTCAAGAAAACTGTGATTTAAAACGAAGATTTCTTAAAAGTATCATATTGATCTTGATACTAAAGTGGATCAAATTGATGCCAAAAATTTGGAATCATTTTTTATTTGATCCACATTTTTGGTATCAATTCGTTACAATTTTATACATTTAAGTTATAGAAGTGAATTGAAAGATGTAAGAAAAATATTGTTGTTTGTTTTGAACGTCCAAATTTTAGAATCATTAAAATTCATTCTGATTCAAAAATTTTTCTGCCAAAAAAATAACTATAATATCAAAATTTTGTCTATGCAATTTCTATGCAATTTTTTCCATTCAAATATAAAGGCACAAAATAATTTTATACTTTTTTAAAATAACGTTAAAATTTTCTAAAAACTATAAATTTAAGAAATTTTGCATCAAATTATAATGAAAATGAACTTAGTCATCAAATTTGCGAAAAAAAGAAACATTTTATTAGCTTCGGCATAAATGATCTTTATAGGGTAATATCAAATTAAGATGCAAAAAATGTATCAAAACATTGCATCGCAACAATATTTCGATACGTTTTTTGTCTCAATTTGATAGTCTCAAGAAAAACTCAAAATCTGAAAAATAGTAAAAAGAAA